CACACACACACACACACACACACACACACACACACACTCACATACACACACTCAAACACAAAGACACGTACACCCTCTAGTTTAGGTTCTCTTTTTTGCCTGGGGGAAAACGACATGACAGCACTCACCTATTTTCACGCCTTCTTGACGAAGTAATAACTCCACAAGTTCAATGTTCTCGTTATCCACTGCAATTTGTATGGCAGACCGCCCGAGCATGTCTGTGCAATTCACGCTAACAGGATCAGATCCAGTGAGGCAACGGATAACCGTAGGCTTGTCTCCCTTTTCCACAGCATCCAGAAAAATCCGTTCTTGGGGGTCCATTCTGTGACCTACAAAACAAAACCAACACAGACTGATTGTATAGTCTTTGCAACATGATATTCTACGACTACTTCATACGCAAGCAAATAAATTCTCTTCTATTGATTTGCTGCAGCTAATCTTAAGCAGCAACGGCAAATCTAAACAGTGGCTACCACGAGAAAGTCAGCAAATCTAAATAAATTGCACTTCAAATTGTGTAAAACGATCCAAATTTTCGAGGGGAGAAAAAGTGTTAGTCTTGGACAGGAGTACGTCTTACACGCTGTCACTATAATGTTTAAAAATGCCAGGGCAAAGGTTAGTGGCCGTTTGTACAGGTGATTGCCTTATACAGGTTGCCAGCAGAGCAGGGGTAGGGCTATAATTGGAAAGATTCTATAGTTTTATAGAACACTTTTTACAAAGTGCTGCATTATACTAAGCATTGTCAGTAGATGATCCCTTTCAATGTGTTCTAGAAACCAGGATCGTGTCATTAGTATGGTCGCCGACGCACAGACTAGCAAAAAATTAAATGTTGAGAGTTTTGGTACCACAACAGAAGAAGGGGGAAAATATCACCAAAAAGCCAAAAGTATGTTTAACCAAAAGGTCCCAAAGAGGCGAAATACTGCTTAGTGAAATAAAACAAAGTCATTATAACTGCATAATATATATCTATACAAAAAGATAAATAGATGACATATTTATATTATACATAAACACATACACATACAGATACACACACATACACACACATATACATACATACACATACACATACACACACACATACACATACACACACATACACACAAACACATACAT